AAAGTATTTGATATTTCGGTGTTTGTTTGAAGAATGTAGTGACCCACTTGAATCATCGACTGTGACACACCACTTAACAACACATTGTATGACCCACTTGAATCATCGATTGACGAGGGTTCAATGAGTCGTGCAATAGAACACCCAAGTTGTAAATTAGAATTAGGTTAGGTTAGGCAGTTTTGTAATCCAACTTACTTCGACACAGTTCAAAGATGTTTTACCTTAAATAAAATAGAGAAAGACATTACATGGCGATCCTGCACCGATTCCTGTGACGAGACTACTCCTTGACGCATCATGCTTGATGGCTGACGCATTAAAAGAAGCCCTGCAAGATCTAACCGTTGGACCGCGCCCCATTACAATTGAAGAGTATAGAGATCGACAGGCGAACATCCAGCACCAACAGAAACTACAACAACAACGCGAGGAGAAATTGACGGCCATACCAAACGCCCGCACTCCAAAACGATGAGGAGGAAAACGCAACAAGCAATTGCGTTTACGAGCACAACTGCTGAAAGGCGTTCAGCAAGAAAAAAACTCGGCATCACAGCGCGAGGCGTGGAAGAAAATCTTCCAAATAGAGGCATCTCTTGCTTCTAGAAAGAAAAACAAATAATAATGCTGTATAAGCATAACAAAAATTTTTAGCGACCGTTACGAATTTCGCAGATCGCGTTAATTAAGTTAAAAAAAAAAAGGGAAATACACAAGCAAAGGAGAAAACAGTTATCCAGGAACCAATAATTGTGGCAAACCAATCGCTGACACCAACCAATTCGTATAAAGACAACGATTTGCAAGTTGTATTATACACTTTGCTTGTAGTATTCAAGTGTTGTTTGTTGCCTACAAGGTGAACAAATATTTTAAAAAGTACGTACATAAACACACACACCGTGCTATTCAGGCTGATGTTTAAATTACAAATACTGTATTTTTTTTTTAACAAAAAAAAAAAAAAAAAATTTGTTCCTAACAAAATAGTAGAACCAGATAGCAAAATAAAAATGAATTGTAAACCACATGGACAAGATTTGTAAATACCTATGTGAGGCAACAACATTGTACACTAATACAAAAAAATGTTTATCTCGTGGATACTCGTTACGGACCATCAGAGAGAAATTAGATAGACTAGAACAACTAAAGAATGCAGTAAATGCAACAAAAATAGAGGAAGATTTTGAAGCGGCAAACGCCCTTAAAGTAAATTTTTTTGAAAAATACAAATTAGCGAGACCGCTTTTAATAGGAATGATTAACAATAGTCCAGAATCAGGTCCACAATCTAACGCCCTATCTGTCAGTAATAACTCTAGACTCCCAATTGAAAATACTAATAACATAACAATGACAGAAAACGCACTAAACCTAGAAAACCTTGAAAAATTCTTACCGGTTTTCAATGGTAAATTTGACACGACAGACTTCATTCTGCGGACAGGACCGAATTCCTAAACGAAACAATAAGCAATGTAACGGATTTATTAAAAATTGAACATATTTCATCTACGCCATATCATCATGAGACAATAGGAACTGTCGAAAGAAGTCATCGTGTTTTAAACGAATATTTGCTAAATTTCGCAAATGATGACGACTGGAACAGTTGGATACCGTACTATGCGTTCGCATCATAGCTGGGGAATAATGATTAGTAATCCTAATGATTAGTAATCGGATTAGAAACTTTTATTTTGCAGAATAATTGATTAATTAGGATTAGTTGGCTATGCTAATCGATTACTTATTGATTAGATTAGAACTAATCAAAAATCTAATCGCGATTAGTGACGATTAGCATATCTAATCAAAACTAATCAAAAAAAAAATTCGATTCGATTTCTCGATTAGTTTTGATTAGATCAACTATTTTGAAATATTTTTGTAAAAAAAAATTTATTTATTTTTGTATATACTCTCGTTTTTTTTTTTGTTAAATATTCAGAATAGAACATTTTTGGTTATAAGTGTTGTTCGCGCCCCCTCTATAAAATATATCATCGCTACCATTGCCTACACACAACTCTTCGTCTTCGCAATATGCATTTTATCAAAATGCATTCTCTTCGCATTCATATGTACATATACAGCTGTACATATAAACACAATAACTACAGCAGAGCACTGCTTAGTTAATCACTCTCGCTGCCGCTGCCCACGCTATCGTCATTATCATCGTCATCATTGGTATTACTTTGAATATACATAGCGACATACATATGTAAATATCAGAACATCACACCACCAGTAAAATAAAGTCAAATTCAGTTATGATTAGACAGCTGACCTGACAGTCCGCGTTAAATAAACACTTTTCGTTTTTCATTGTGGCCTTCAATCTATAAAGTGTTGTAAGTGAAGTGGTGAAAACTCTATTTGTAAATATAACATTTTCAAATTGTAAATATCGTAGTTGTCGAAATGGAGCAAAATGTCGGAATGGATCAAGATCTGTTTGAAGACCAAGACTTCTCGGCAGATGATGATGTTGTTGACCCAAATTTTATGCCGGAGAAGGTGATCCGCAAGAGGAATATTGTTGCGGATAGTGATTCGGCAGTGAGTACTAAAAGAATGCGTAGCGTCGGACGGAGTTCGCCTAAATTAATTTTCAATTCAGAATTTTACGTGGCAATGGAAAAAGTATGTTAAACTAAGTGTTGGTGAATATTTTTATTAAATTATTGTACTAATGGCTTGTTTTTTGTTACGGCAGTCAAATGGAAGAACAACGGCTAAATGTGCCGCCTGTAATAAAATCATACGAGGCACCGAGGAAGTAACTTCAAACTTCATATCCCATTTGAAAGTTCGCCACAATGACTTACACAAAAGGTATTTAAGTATGAAATCTGGCCCTTCCCGTAAAACCACGACACAGGAAGCTTTTGAAAAAAAAATTATCCGTTTTTTGGTAGACTGCGCGTTACCCGTTTCTATTGTAGAAAAATAGTCCTTCCTGTTATGTGTAAAAAGTCTGCCATGAAAAAACTTGACGAAAGCTACAATAGCATGGTGTCTGCAGTACGGAATAACATGTCGCAATCAAAGTATTTTTGTACCACAGCGGATATATGGTCGGGTAATCACAGGAGCTTTTTGGGTTACACATGTCACTGGTTCGATCAAAACTTCGAGAGAAAATCAGCTGCCTTGGCGTGTAAGCGAATATTTGGTATCCATTCTGCGGAGAAAATCGCGCAAATGGTTGGAGAAATGAATTCTTCCTTTGACCTGAACAACAAAAACATAATTACGACCATCACGGACAACGGGTCAAACTTTGTCAAGGCATTTCGAGATTTTGGTTTGCGGGAATATGATAGTGATGAAGAAGAGGAAAATAGTGAAGACGAAATGCCGATTCTCGAAAATACCAAATATTTGCCGAAACACGAAAGGTGTGCCAGTCACACGTTAAATTTATTAGCCAGCACTGACTATGCCATGATTTTGAAAAACCAAACAACAATGGAAATTCAGCACTGAATGGTAATATCTATACATATTTTTTTTGTTTGAAATGCAACTAAAATTCATTTCTCACAGACGATCAAAAAGTGCAATCACCTTTGGAAAAAGTGCAAATGGCCAAAATCCTCCGAAATCATTCAGAACATTTTAGGTTCAGCTCTTGTTGTACCAGTAGTAACTAGGTGGAACTCACTATATGATGCAATCCTGAAGTTACTACAGTACAAGGAGAAATTGAACGTGCTTTCCGATGAGCTGCATCTGTCTCCTTTTACATCAGGTGATTTTCAATATTTGAGGTCGTATAAGCTGCTAATGGAGCCTATTTCCCAAACTTTGGACTTTCTCCAAGGTGAAGCCAATGTGAAATATGGTTGTATTATTCCTGCGTTACTTTCTTTCGCATATAATACGACCCCACACGTCGATACAGGCTACACGCCACATGAACTGGTATTTGGCAAACTACCATTCTTGCCGAGAGATTCAATCAACAATGATCAAGGAACATACAACCTTGATGATTACTCGAACGAGCTTAGAGCAAGATTACGCTTCGCCCTCAGTAGAGCCAGAGAACTTACTGTAAATAGAAAAAATACACGACATTTGGCCAGTAAACAAAACACCAATCCCCTAGATATAGGGGGGGTTAGGACACATGGCAATAGGAAAAATCTCAGGCCGTATACAGGTCCATATGAGATAACTAACAAAGACAAATCAAATGTAACCATAAAAATAGGAGAAACTAAGAAAACTATACATAAGAACAATACAAAAAAAAATTTAACGTAATTATATATACACTCATACACAAAAAAAAAGGAAGTCATTTTATAACAAATACATTTTAAGCTTGGTTCATTCCGTCATAATGCAAAATTGTAAACAATTATACCTTGGAAAAATTTTCCATAAATGAAATTTTTTTTTAAAGGGTAAGGGTGTAGTGGCATGACACATGTGCAAAACATATTGATAATCTACACAA